TCATGAAATAGGCAGTGTTTAATACTGTGGACCAAATCAAGAAAAAGCAGAACGTTTAGGAAATTGATAAAGCATGTCTAAAAATATATGGCCAACATATGGCTCAATTTAAGTTAGGATCTTCATTCTGGNATTTTTCTAGCTTATCAAGTAGTAGGTTGTGCTCAACTTTATCAAATGCCTTACTGAAGTCCAAGTAAATTATATCCACAGCATTCCTCTAGTTCACTAACTTTGTTACCTGGTCAAAGAATACAATAAGATTTGTCTGGCATGATCTGTTTTTGACAAATCCATATTGGCTTTTGGTTATAACTTTGTTTGCCTCTAGGTGTTCGTTGATTCATTGTTTGATTATCTTTTCCAGAATCTTCCCAGGTATTAAGGTCAGGCCGATAGATTCTCTAGTCTCTCTGGCCTCTAGTTTCTTGGATCCATTTTCCCCCCTTTTTTGAAGATGGAAACTACATCAGCTCTGCTAATTCCCCAGTGCTCCAGGATCTTTGAAAGATGTGGCTCAGTGGTTCTAAGATCTTGTCTGCCAATTCCTTCAGAACCCTGGGGTGTAATCCATCTGGTCCTGGTGATTTGAACTCATCTAGAGTGGATAGGTGTTTTCTTACCATTTTCTTGCTTATTTTGACGTACTTCTAATCTATATTTTATGGTATTTTTTATAGGTTGGTGGGTTTTTCTTTTTGTATAAAGACAGATGCAAAAAAAAATTGTTAAGTAGTTTTCTCCTCACTGCTCGTCAACCTTCTTGCCATTTTCTCCCATTAATGGACTGATTATTTCCTTGACTTTTTTTTCTTGCTTTTTGACATGTTGAAAGCAGCTTCTTCTTTTTTTTACATTTTTTACTTTTGTAGCAGGTCTTAGCTCATTTTGGGCCTTAGCTTTCCTGATTTCATCTGTGCAAGTCTGGGCTGCTTGCTGATATTCTGCCTTAGGTACATGCACCTTTTATACTTGTCTTTTTTGTCTTTTAGTTTATCAGAGATTTTTTTCTGCAGCCGTGCTGGTTTATTTTGAAATCTCTTATTTTTCTGCTTCATTGGAATTGGGCTAGATTGGGCTTTTATAATTTCACTTTTCAAAGTTTTCCAAGCTTCTTGGCTTGTTTTCCCCCTGAGGATTCTCATCCATGGGATCCTTCTCAAGCTCTAAGTTTATTGAAATCAGCTCTCTTGAAATCCAAGACTTTAGTTTGACTTTTCTTTATTGCTTGAGCTTGCATAAAGTTGAATTCCAATATTGCATGGTTACCCCCCCCCCCATTCCAAGGTTCCTATAACTTCAACACCTTCTAACATTTCATCTCTGTTACAGATGAGAATTAAGAGTGAGAATTAGAGTGAGAATTAAGTCCAGAATGGCTGACCCTCTAGTTCCTTCTCTACCTTTTGGGAGAGAAAGTTGTCTGTTAGGTTTGTCAGGAATCTGTTTGATCTTCTACTAAATGCAATCTGTTTGATTTTCTACTTGGCTTTACTAGGGCTCACTAACTTTTTATTCCTAGCATTATTTATTTATTTTTAAAAAGCTCTATTAGACCAAATTGCTTTTATTACTAACATTTTCTGTTATCAGGACAGCCATTTGACCCATCAGTGTACATTACACATTTTTTTGGCAATGTGATCTGTGCTGTAGTTTTTGGACATTGTTTTTCCACTGAAGATAAGGAGTTTTTGGAATTGCTGGAATCCATGGATATTATTTCAAAATTTTTAACAAGCTTTTCCCACATCGTGAGTATTGTGGTCACTGCCCTCCTTCTTCTCTGAGTGATACAGAATTAGCCAGAACAATGGAGCCATGGGAATTACCAGAATTGTAATTTCACTGAATTATTATTTTATTTTTCATTCCCAAATTGGAAAATGTATATTATGGTTAAGCTATCTGATCAATAAGCTTAGAGTTGAATAATTTGGAATGCACATGAGGACCATTGACAGCAGATAATAGTGCAAGGTGGTAGGCACTTTACTTCCCTAAATATTTTTGGAATATAAATTGGACTGTTGGGTGGCATTATGTATTTAGAAACCTAGCCTAGGATAGAAATTCTATACATTTGTGTACTCAGTTGTTGACTTTTGTTAAAANTTGAGAAAGTAGAAGAAGGTGTGGAAATTCTTCAAAATGATATGGTAATGTCACAATATAGAGAAATGGAATTTGCTCTGAGGATTAGGGGTCTTAAGGAGGACTTACAAGAGAAACTTAAGGAAGAAATTGTTACAGCTTTGGCCCTGGTTTTGGATTGCAACCCAGAGGTGATCTGTGGAGAAATAGAAATTTTTTTAGAGTAAACTCCTGGGTTGCACATCAGAGAAACATACCTAGAGATGTGGTTGTTTACTTTACCACAAGAGTACGTCGTAATGAAATTATACAGCTTTTTTTATCAGAAGAGATTTCAAATTGCTGCACAAGATATTATATTTTTAAAAGAAATACCTTCTAAGATTTTAAGAAGAAGAAAGGATTTTACTTTTTTGGCTCAGGAGTTAAAGAGCGGCAGATGCCTTTTAGATGGGAGATTCCTTTTGGAATTGTGGTAAATTATGCAGGGACCAGATACAGATTAAATACCATTCAAAAAGCTAAAGATTTTTATTTATCGGTCCTGAACGCTGATTTATCATCATCATCGACATCTACAGCAAAAAAAGATTTGATGGAGCAACTTGTTGTGGAATTGCCTGGGGCCATGTCATCATCTGCAGGAGATCCTCAGAATCAACAAAAGTTGGGAGTGAACTCAAAGGAGCAAAGAATGACCTGTGCTGCCTTTAGGCATAAAGAGAAAGAACAACAACAAAAAGAAATTGTATCCATAACATATTCACCGACTTCAGAGCCAGTGGGAGGGGCGAGGCCAAAGAGATCTGTAACGACAGATTTGCAGGGAATGCTTAATAAGCTCCACAAGCCAAAGGATGGTTAAGTTGACGACGCTGCACGTGAATGGTTTGACTTTACCACAGAAAAGGAAGAAATTATTTTAATATTTGAAATAATATAAAAAGGATTATATGCTTGTAAGGAACTCATATTACTTTGAAAGATTCAATATTTGATAAACTTAAGATTGGGATTTTATCTTATTTCTCCAGCTTTGAAGAAGGAGGCATTGTTTTATATGCACTATATCAGCAACAACAACAAAAACAATTTTATAGGTTTTTGCATATGTTTGGAGACTGGAATGCTGTTGCTGATCCAATGAAAGATAAGAAGATTTCTTTGAAAGTATTGACTTAAGAGTGAAGAAAGTGAAGGACAAACTTAAATGTAAAATTTAAGAGAAAATTTATATAAGATGTTTTATAGATAATATTTAGATCTTTAAAAATTGTCTTGTATGTATTTTAGTTTACAGCTTAAATGTTGGAGGTGGATAGATTATATTCAGAGAAAGTATGGAATGAATAAATATCATATAGTTTTTGAGTAGATATATTGTTTTTACTTATTGTTTTAGATTAGAGTTAAAGTATGTAAATATTGATTGTATTATGTTTGTTTAGTTAAATTGTAATTTAGATATGGAATGGGATGTGCTTTAATCCTGTATTTGGTTCCGGGAAGTCCAGGGGGGCAGGGGGGAAAGGGATCTCTTATGTATAGTTATATTTTGGTATACTAGAATGGTAGTGAGATATAATGTATTTATTGAAGAAAGGAGGCTCAGTCGACCTCCAAGACCACATCTGAAAGAGGAGGAGAGAAGGAGGGGGGATGTGTAGGGTAGAGTTGTTGAGAGGGTGGAGAGGAAGAAGGAAGGAGGAGGAGGGAAGTAGGTAGGTTAAGAGAGGGTGAATGTGGTCCTGGGAGGCTGCTGAGCATCTTGGAATATGAGGTTTTTATGTTTTTTATTTTTTTATTAATGTATGCCATAATTGTATCTATTTGTTTATTTAAAAAATTAATTTAAAATTTGATTAAAAAAAAACAAAAAAAACAGAGGGATAGAATCAAGATCACCTGAAGTGTTAATACCATTTTACAATGCCTTGTAAAAGCAAAGATGATTAGGGGACTGGAGGCTAAAACATACAAGGAACAGTTGATGGAATTGGGGTGACATGATAGCAGTGTTCCAATATCTCAGGGGCTACCACAAACAAGAGGGAGTCAAACTATTCTCCAAAGCACCTGAAGGCAGGACAAGAAGGAACGGATGGAAACTAACCAAAGAGAGAAGGAACCTAGAACTAAGGAGAAACTTCTTGACTGTTAGAACAATTAACCAGTGGAACAACCTGCCTCCCAGGCCTAAAATGGCCCACCGGAAGTGCATGGATGCCACTTCCAGAAGTTCGTTCTAGGCCTTGGAGGCCCAGGCCTGCATCAAATAAGAGAACCAGTTGTTCAGGTATTTGAATGCCACCTCTGCCTGTTGCCATGGAATAACATTGCCAGCTATTTCCCCTCCTGCCATAATCTCTTGTGTAGACAATATTGACACAGTTGATTTAACTACAACAGAAACAATTAACATACTATTAGTTCACAACCAAAAGGGATCAGTGGTTGTTCCTACTCTGATCAAAAATATGATTCATATGTCCCACTTTTAGAATCACTGTCTCTAGCCCTGTTTCATCCTGATGGTTTGATTAGAGCTTCAATCTCTACAGAAAAAATGGACTATGAACCAGAAAGGGAAACACTAGGTTTGGGAAAGAAATAACAACAACAATAACAACAACAACAATAATAATAATAATAATAATATATCCATCAGTCAATTGCAAAAGGTGGCCTTGCTAGGAACAGCTTCCATCCTACGACGATATCTGTAATACCATCAAAAATCCACATCTGCCTATCCCAGGTCCTTGGTAAGGACTCGATAGGTAGACAAAAATGCCAAAACCAGTCTGAACATCTGGATGATTAATAATAATAATAATAATAATAATAATAATAATAATAATAATAATGAAAAAATGACATTTCATCTTTCTCACTGTTAACTTTAGAGCAAGGAGGATCCAAATTCTACCTATGATGAAGACAACTTGGTTCATTGCATTGGTGACATCTTTATTGCTGGGACAGACATAACTAGTAGTGTTCTGCAATGGGCATTGCTACTAATGGCAACTCATCCAGATATCCAAGGTGACAATAAAGTTGAATTTTTAGTGGGAAGTGCAATTCCTCTACAATGTCACGCTAGATAGAATATTAATATATGTATATTCCAGATTGTATAGATAGTTTCTTATCCGATTTCAGGGTTATATTCAACCTCCAGAAATGGTTGCCTTCTCAGAATAACAGTGTTGGAAGGGACCTTGGAGGTCTTCTAATCCATCCCTCACTCAGACAGTAAATCCTATACCATTTCAGACAAATGGTTGTCCAATCTCTTCTTAAAAACTTCCAGTGTTGGAACATTCACAAGTTCTGGAGGCAAGTTGTTCCATTGATTAATTGTTCTAACCGTCAGGAAATTTCTCCATAGTTCTAAGTTGCTTCTCTCCTTGATTAGTTTCCATCCGTTGCTTCTTGTCCTGCCTTCAGGTGCTTTGGAGAATAGCTTGACTCCCTTTTCTTCATGGCAAACCCTGAGCTATTGGAACACTTCTATCATATCACCCCTAGTCCTTCTTTTCATTAAACTAGACATACCCAATTCCAGCAAATGTTCTTTATATGTTTTAGCCTCCAGTCTCCTAATCATCTTTGTTGCTCTTCTCTGTACTCTTTTGAGAATCTCCACATCTTTTTTACATTGTGGGGACCAAAACTGGATGCAATATTTCAAGTGTGATCTTACCAAGGCATTATAAAAGTAGTATTTTGCGGTACACAGAAGTGAACACAATATTCCAGATGGGAAAACATGTGCATTGTTTGACTGATTTGGATCATAGATGAGATCCTCCAAGGCTGATATTCAATCAATCTTCCAACAGATGTAGGGAATAATAGGAGATCCCTAGAAATAGTAACTTCCCAGCATTCTTTGCCTCGTCTTCTCAGCTTTAACACTTCCTAAAGTCTCAGTTGTTATGGAGTGGAAGCCACAGTGAGCAATGGTTGCAGTTTGGAATGGGACAACTCTCCACAGCCAACTCGCCACGGGACAATTCATCATAGCTAACTCACCGTGGGACAACTCGTTGTGGGACAATTAAACAATTCAATTATTTAAAATAAATAACAAATATTTTAATTTTTGTCATTCACATTACATTTTGTCCCTCCTTTTACATTCTTTAATGATTCTATTCCACCATTTCTTTGATATTAATGTAACTCTTCTCCCCCAGTGAGGTGTCCTGTGGTGAGTTGGCCATGGCGAGTTGCCCCACAGCGAGATGGCTGTAACAAGATGGCCATGACAAATTGTCATAAACCCCTGCAGTTAGCCTCTTGCATCTGCTCCCTAGGCTTATCACATATTGTTGTGGCTGCAAGGAAGACTGGAACCCTCATTTCTGCAATTTCTTTTCTTTCTCCAATTTACTTACAAAGTCCAAGACTTCCAGGAGAAATAATCCCTGATTCAGATAACTGAATAGATTAGTTATGCTGGATGCAGTGATCTAGGACAGAAGCAGCTCTTTCAATACCCTGTTTTTAAAGGGGCAGTAAGAATAATATACTGTCTTGAACAAGAAAAAGAAATCTAAAAGACAAGCAACCCAGGACCTCAAACATCCTTGTATTGCTGTTTTCATGAAGGACTGAAGGAATGGCAGCATGTAAGGTCTGCAGACACAAAACAAACTTCATTAGAGGTTAAGATTTATATGATCTGAAGAAAAACCAAATTATTTAGAGCCTTCCTCAGAGTGAGATACATCCAGATCTCTGGGAGGCAGCCAATTCAGAGAATGGACTGCTAAGTGGTGGTGGTAGTAGTTTTTATACACTTATTTTTAGTTTCATCAGTGAGTGTTAATAACCCTTTCCTGCTCTCAGAATTTTATACTCCAGCTGACTAACTATTCAAAATCTCTTTAAGGGCAACCACATGAAATAATTCAGGTGGAAAGGTATCTCTCCACATTCATCTTACTTATCTTCTGAGATAATTTATAAGTTCTTCAATAAAAGTTACTTTCTTACTCTTTTTCTCAGACAAGGTCTACAAGGAGATAGAAACAGTTTTGGATCCGTCTCACTCCATCTGTTATGGAGATCGGAAGAATCTGCCCTACATCAATGCTGTGATTCATGAGATTATACGAAGCAAATACGTCACATTATTTGGACTACCAAGAAAATGTGTGAAGGATGTTTACCTCAATGGATTTCTCATTCCCAAGGTGTGAATCTTTCTGAATTCCAAATATAACAGTACAGAATAACAGAGTTGGAAGGGACATTAGAGGTCTTCTGCTCCAATTCCCCTCCTTGGACAGGACACCCTGTATCATTCTGGACAAATGACTATCCAATCTCTTCTTAAAAACCTGATGGATCACCCACAACCCCCAGTGAAAACAATTGTTGATCAATTGTTGATCAATTGTTCTCACTGTAAGGACATTTCTTAGTTTTAGCCTCCAGCCCCCTAATCATCCTTTAAGAGCTGGATCTGTATATGGATGCCCTGTTGAACTTCCACTCTTTGCTAAAACTTTGTTGGAATGCAGTGTTTAAATCAAAGTGATCCACTTGCTGCTATGCTAAGCATGTCTTTCAAGGAAGAATGTATGAATGCTGGTTTTGTCAGACTTCTGGTTTATCACACTAGGCCAACTTCCAACCCAAAGCTTTCTTCCAGTAGCTCACCTGAGAAGTTTCGATGCCTTATTATCATGGTTCTTTTAAGTATACCCAACTCAGTGGGCTCCATAACATGACAGTCAACCCATAACATAAGACCTAGGCAACACACACAAACACTCAAAGGCCAGCACTCCTTACTCACTACTCCACTCTTTCCCACTACTACTACACATCCTCCTACTGCTCTCCAACTTGCACCTTGTGAGTCCTATTACTGGAGAATATCTTTCTGCCTGTTTTAGGCTACCTCAGGCTGCTTTATTTTCACAGACAAACACACCACACTTCCCTGCCTCTCTGCTCAACTGTTATAGCGAACAGTTGCTATTCTGGCTAGGGAGAGATCTTAAAGGGACAGCAGAATTGCAGGTGCTGGCCATTTTTTAAGCAGCCTGTCCTCTAATGCTTATTTTTATTAAATGCTTAAGTCGTCTCCTTTGCAGTTTTTTTTTCATATACATGATTTAGTGAGTCACATCCCTCTTGGTAATATAGAACAGCATTCATGGTGGAAATCATTGTCTGGGCCTCGGTTTCTCCTTTTGATTATTATTTCTAGCTGATGTCTAGGTGTGAATGAGGATTACTTTTTAAACTTACGCTGTTTGCTTGCTGTTCACTTCTTTCACTATTGTGAGTATCAAACCATCAATGCTTCCTGCTTCTACAACTGTGTTGGCTCTCTTTTGTTTTGACCCATATGCATAAATGACCCTTTGTATTTGCTGTAGGCTGGGCTTCTCTCCAGGCTGTAATTCAGGCTGGGCTTCTCTCCAGGCTGTACACTTTGTGTTAGTGACTTTCATTGGGAAAGTTAGCACTACCACACAAGACTTTGAGAAATGAATTATCTCAATGAAGGATAACTTGGCTTGTTCATAGTCCCCATTTGCTTCTCAGCTGCTTCCATGAAGAGAAGAGATGGGAGTCAAAGCAAAAAGACAGATTAGTTATTTCTAAAAATAATAAATGCAGGGCAGAACTTAATAAATAAAGGGGAGGTTGCAGAAGTAGCCTGCAGATTAAGCACAGGTAGTGCTTGAAGTATTTTATTAATATTAGATTGGATTTTTATCCCACCTTTATTATAAATAACTCAATACATAATATTCTTTCCTCCTATTTTTTTCCACAACAACCCTGTGAGATGGTTTGGGTTGATAGAGAGTCATCCAGCCAGTTTTCCTGTCTTAACTGGGACTAGAACTCATAGTCTCCTGGTTTTTCCAGGCTATCACCTTAAACCACTACAAAAAACTGACTACCTGAATATACCTAAATATATACCTGAAACATGCAAGGAAAAGAAATAGAATATCCAGAAACAAATGAGATTGTCTAGAGCAGAGGTCCCCAACCCCTGGTCCATGGACCAGCACCAGTCCACGGCATGCCAGAAACAGGGCCGCTCAAACAAGGAAAGCATCCCCCATCTGCGGGATGCAGGAAGTATGCCAAACCACGCCCCCTCTGGTCCATGGAAAAACCTCTCTTCACAGAACCAGTCCCTAGTGCCCAAAAGGTTGGGGGCCACTGGTCCAGATGTTTCCATTTTTTTCTTTCTTCATTTTAGGGGGCTATGATTTTACCAGACCTGCGCTCTGTTCTCCTTGATCCTGAACAATGGGAGACGCCTGAAAAATTCAACCCCAACCATTTTTTGGACAAAGAAGGACATTTTGTCACTAAAGAAGCATTTATGCCATTTGGAGCAGGTAATATGTAGGTGTCAAGGCTGCTAACATCGGATGTTCTTGCTTGACAACATATAAAGAAGCAAACATGTTTTATTTAACCTGTGTATCACTTCTAGAGTTAAAGTCAGACAATGTTAGAAGAGAGGGGGGAAAGTATGTACTCGGGGGATAGTTAGCCATAACAATATTTCAGTACAGTATTTCCAAGGTTAGTTGTAACCAGAGGAGTTACGGGAGGGAAAGTTCACACTTCAAACTAATTGGAGAATGTGATTGATGACACTGTTAAATGAAGGAGTGAGTTATGCTTTGTTACGGGTGATTGGGGGAGGGAGAATTCAGTTTTTGGCTTCATTATGTACGTGCCGAAGCTATGTAGCAAGAAAAGGATTCTTTAAGGTAAACAAGGCCTCAAAGTTCTTTGAAAAGCTTCTTCTTTCGGAACCATGACAGTAGGTTTCTTTCTCTTTTGTAAAAAGAAAAAAAATGTGTAGGTTTCTTTTGCTTGTAAGGAAAGAGATTGCATTTGAAAGTGTGCAGGTTAAAGGGCAAAATAACATTTAGTCTATATCTACTGGGGATTTGGGGGAAGATAACTTAAGAAGCTTAATTTACCTTCCCCCAGTTGGGGGGGGGGAAGAACTGTGTAGCATGAAAACCAAAAGAAACATTTAGTGATGCAATTCTCCTGGTGTTAGATTAACTTAAGTAAAACTCAAGAATGCACACAGCTATATTAGCTCCAGTCAGTAAGTTGTGTGGTCAAATTATTTTTCCTAAGATGAGACAAAGGTCCCAGAGAGGCTCTCCAAAGAATGAGGCCCCAGTACTCCTTATCTTATGGATCCTCCACCCTTACCCCCAGAGCATCTAGCAGGGTTAAAAAAGAGCAGAAATACATCCATAGAGGGTCCAAAGGATCATTCTGCAGTGGCCTGGAACTCTATGCTTCCTCTCTATTTTTGTTTAAAAATGGTCCCAGCTTCAAGAAAAGAGAGAAAAAGGTAAGTTGATTAGGAAATGAGGGCTTCCTTGTATATTTACTACAGTTGGGGAAGGAGCATCTGATGTACCACAGTTACCACTATTAGACCTCACCATCCTGAGTCAAGGGCTGACGGTATCTGATATCCAAAGACAATGATTTAGAAGAGGACACTGGGTTGAGTCAGAGGAAAGGTTCGAGGAAGAATTAGAGGAAGCAGCTCAAATCATAGATATAAGATGGGATCCTTCTTATCCTGTATGCTGAGGTGTGGGGAAGAATGGCAACCCATTGGGGATAAAAAGAGTTCTGCAAAGCAATAAAAAATGTATGAATTACTGTTTTCAGGGAAGCTAATCCAACCATCTGCTCTTAATTATTAGAAAAGTATTTTTTGTTTGTATATTTATTATTATGCCACCTATTTCCCCTTCTATCCTATAAGGAGTCTCCCCTACAACTGCTTCCTTAAATGTAGCCCTTCTTTTCATTGTTAGAAAATAAAGGTATAGAAAACCATACATGGGATTGCTAAAACTTATGAACAGAATCGAATCGAATCGAATCGAATCGAATCGAATAGAATAGAATAGAATAGAATAGAATAGAATAGAATAGAATAGAATAGAATAGAGCTGGAAGGGACATTGGAGGTCGTCTAGTCCAGACCCCTGCTCAAGCAGAAGAAGCTATATCACCTCAGATAGGTGATTGTCTAGTCTCTTCTTAAAAAATCTCCAGTGATGGAATGCCCACTGTAAATTTATGAAACAGGTTGCTGAGATCTGTGCAGGAACGGTTAGCAGACCACGTGGCCTGCAAGCCAGACTTTCTGTCTACAGACTACTTAGTATGCATTTAAGTGAGAGAATACTGTATTCTCATTTGCTGACGCTGCCCAAAGCTGAGTGTATAAATAGGGGTGGAGCAATGCTTGTTAGTTTCTGTTTTGACCTTCAATAAAGAAATACTTGTTTTCTACTGCTGCCTCTTCAATGCTGAACCAAGCAGAAAACAGAACATTGGCGACGAAGGTGGGATTGTGCTGCCGCAATTCGAAGAGCTGAGTCACTACGGGGGAAAGGCCTAGCAAGTGCTTGGTTGGAATGGCGTTCCACCCCCCCTCACTCTATCCTGCCAGTACGGAAACACTGGAGGAGAGTGCTTCCAAAGATCCGCCCTGGAAATCCCACGGAAGCTTGCGCAGCACGAGGCATTGAAAAGGCTGCGAAAAACTCACCATGGCGAAGATCGGAAAACTCTCTGAATTCGACATTGCTCATCCAGAGAGGTAGAGCTCCCACGTTGCGAGAGTTGAAAACTACCTGCGAGTTAACCAAGTTCGACACGATGGATTGAAGGCCGCGATGCTGCTGTGTGTTTGCGGTCAAGCAACATTCGACATCGCAGAGAACTTGGTTGCACCAGCGCCGCTTGAATCCATTGCGTACGCAGAACTTAAGAAGATGCTCAAAGAACATTTTGAGCCCAAGCTTTCAGTCATCGCTTGGTGGCATGCTTTCAAACAGCGAGACCAGTGTCCCAGCGAGTCCGCTGCTGACTTCATAGCCGCTCTTTGCCAAGCAGCACGGCAATGCGAATTTAAAGATCTTGAAGAAAGGCTGCGGGACCGTTTAGTTTGTGGTCTAAGGAGCTGAGAACTGCAACAGAAGATCTTTGCTAAAGAGACTATCTCATTTCAAGATGCATTGAGGGACATAACGACTGAAGCAGCAGCAGGCGGGGCTGTTAAGGCCTTGCGGCTCTCCAAGAACCCTCCTTGCACCGAGGCCATCCACCAAGAGGATGCCGAGTTGAAGACTCCAAATTGGACCACGAAGTCAATCGGTTACAGCAACCTCCAGAAAGAAGGCCTCAAAAGCAACCTGACAAGGCAGTTTCTTTCTCTCATTGCATTGGGTGTGGAGGCCGTCACAAACGGGCTGACTGCCGGTTCCACACAGCAACTTGCTGGGTGTGTGGCAAGAAAGGCAACATTGCTGCCGTTTGTTTGAGTCACAGGAAAGAACATTCATCAGAAGAGTTGCCTCGGAAAGGTACCAGGGTCCCCAGTCAAAACAGGGTGGGCTATTGCATGAGTAGAAGAAGCGTGTTTAGGACAGGCGCCCATCGCCCACTAAAGGAAAAGTTGCACCTCAAAATCAAGTTGCAAGTGGTTCCTTCTGACATGGAGTTGGACACGGATTCAGCTCTATTGATAATCTCCCAAAGGACACTTCAGCAGATTTGTAGTCAAAGCGGCAAACGAGTTACGCTCAGGCCTTCGAACCTCGTTTTAACCGACTTCCAAAACTCCCGGATTAACGTCAAGGGGGAGGCCACACGGGGTGCAGTTCAGGAATTTCGAGGGTCCCTTGGAAGTCGTAGTTGTTGAGGGCAACTGCACTAGCTTAAATGGACTTGATTGGTTTGATGCTTTGAGAATTCAAGTGATGGGGTTAAATAGCTTGCAAACGTCGAGCCTTTCGGCGGTGTGTAAAGAGTTTGCTGATGTCTTCAGCTCAGAGTTAGGGGCATACAAAGGGCCTCCAATTGCACTACGGTTAGATCCTTCAATAGCAATGATAAGAATTAAGCCTCGTCGGGTGCCTTTTGCCTTAAAGCAGAGAATCAATGCAGAGCTGGACAAGCGGTTGCAACAAGGCATCTTAGAGCCGGTGGACAGCAGTCCATGGGAAACTCCCATTGTAATGCCACTTAAGTCTAACAGAGAAGTCTGCATTTGTGCTGACTATAAATGCATGTTAAACAAAGCTCTCCAGCAGCACTCCTATCCGATGCCTGTAGTCAGCCACATTTTGGCATCTCTACAGGGAGGTCACATTTTCGCCAAATTAGATTTGGCCCAGGCCTATCAGCAGCTGCCGGTGGATGACGCCACGGCTGAGGCCCAAACTATTGTAACCCACAGGGGAGCCTTCAAGGTGCGACGGTTACAGTTCGGGGTTAATGTAGCCCCGGGCATTTTTCAAAGTGTAATGGAGCGCACGCTCCGCAACATTCCGGGTGTATGCCCATATTTCGATGATGTCCTCATAGCTGGGGAATCAGTTGAAAACCTCGCTGACAGGCTCCGGGCCATCTTGCAGCATTTCCGCGAAGCGGGGCTGAAGTGCAAACAGGAGAAATGCAAAATTGGAGTCACTTCCACAGAATTCCTGAGATTTTGTATAGATGCCGAAGACATTCATCCTGCTGAATCCAAGCTCAAAGCACAGTCACCCATGCTCTTGTCACCTCCCGCCTGGACTACTGCAATGCTCTCTACATGGGGCTCCCCTTGAGGAGCACTCGGAGGCTCCAGTTAGTCCAGAATGCAGCCGCACGGGCGGTGTTGGGAGGGACTCGTCGCTCCCATGTAACGCCGTTACTGCGCGAGCTGCACTGGCTGCCGGTGGCTTTCCGGGTGCGNATGGCATCGGACCTGGCTATCTCCGAGACCGCCTTCTGCCTCAGATTACCTCTCATCGGCCGATATGCTCCCACAGAGTGGGTCTCCTCAGGGTGCCGTCAGCCAGACAGTGCCGGCTGGCGACCCCCAGGGGGAGGGCCTTCTCGGTGGGAGCTCCCACCCTATGGAACGAACTACCCCCAGAGATCCGGGTGATCCCTGATCTCCCTTCCTTCCGCCGCACCCTCAAGACATGGTTATTTAAGCTGGCAGGACTGGCCTAAGGGTTATTTTTTAGCTGGGTTTTATAACAATTTTTAAAAAATAACAAAGGCCTAATAATATTTCATTTTAATTAACATTTTAACTTTAGTATTTTTTGTATTTATGTATTTGTTTTTAAAAGGCTGTAAGCCGCCCTGAGTCCGTAGGGAGAAGGGCGGGGTAAAAATATAAATAATAAATAAATAAATAAATAAATTCAGCAGGCACCCAGTCCCAAGACGAAGGGAGAGCTTCAGGCCTTCCTGGGACTCCTTAATTTCTATCATGCTTTCCTCCCCCACAAGGCCGCAGTGGCAGAGCCGTTACACTGGCTCTTGGACAAGAAGGCCCCATGGAAGTGGACGAGTATCCACGAGAGGAGTTTTGCAGCAGTTAAAGCATTTTGTCATCAAATGCGGTGTTGGCTCATTTCAATGAGCAGTTGCCAATCAGCATCATGTGTGATGCATCCCCGTATGGGATCGGAGCTGTGTTAAGTCATCTCAGTGCTGATGGGACACAAGTCCCTATAGCCTATTACTCCAGGACTCTTTCTGCTGCAGAACGCAATTACGCACAAATAGATAGGGAAGCATTGGCCATTGTGGCGGGTATTAAAAAGTTTCATGACTTTTTGTATGGCTGCCATTTCATGGTCTTCACTGACCACAAGCCACTCCTGGGGTTGTTCACTATGAACAAGCAGATACCCCAGATTATCTCTCCTAGAATGTTGAGGTGGTCAATATTCTTACCTGCTTATGATTATTGTCTGGTTCAGAAACTGGGTAAAGAAATGGGCCACACAGACAGCCTTAGTAGGTTGCCTCTACAGCTATTAGAGTCAAATCCTGATCCAGCTAACCACATCCTGGCTATTCAGGATTTGCCGGAGCCTCCCCTTAATGCAGGGGATGTTGCTGCTGAAACAGCTTCAGACAACACGCTGAGCTGCGTGTTGAACTGTGTGCTCACAGGATGGCTGGAAACATGTCCTGGCCCTAACTTTCAGAGTTTCTGGAGAAGGAAGCATGAATTATCCACTTATAAGTGTTGTATCTTGTGGGGCAGTAGGGTAGTAATCCCGACCTCACTGAGGGCTAGAATCCTTGATTCTCTGCATGAGGGACATCCGGGAATAGTCCAAATGAAGGCACTCACGCGCAGCTATCTTTGGTGGCCTGGGCTCGATAAAGATATCAAGGCCCAGGTCCAAAGGTGCCTCATTTGCCAACAGTCAAGGCCAGAAATGCCACATGCTCCTGTGCACAGATGGGAGACCACATATACTCATTGGTCAAGGATTCATATTGATTTTGCTGGCTTCTTTCAGAGGCAACTCTTCCTCATTGTTGTGGACAGTCACTCCAAGTGGCTAGAGGTCATTCCAGTGTCCACTATGACTACTGCCAGGATCATCCAGGTTCTGCGCAGCATCTTTGCAACACATGGGCTCCCAGATGTCATAGTCTCAGACAATGGGGCTCAATTTACTTCTGCTGAGTTTCAGTCCTTCTTAAGGGTGAATATGATTAGACATGCCACTTCAGCTCCTTTTCAACTGGCCTCTAACGGCCAAGCGGAACGCCTGGTTAGAACAACCAAGGAATCCTTGAAGAGATCACAAATGGCAATTGGCATCACAGGTTGACAGATTTCCTACTTTGCAAATGCACTATACCAGTGGTTCTCAACCTGTGGGTCGGGACCCCATTTGGGGTCGATCGACCATTTCACGGGGGTCGCCAAGCAAGGCTGTCCGCCATTTTTTTTGTCCGCCATTTTTTTTGTCCGCCATTTCCCCCCCTTTTCCGGTGGGTGCCTTACCTCCCTTGGGCTGGGCCAGCTGGTGGTCGGCCTGCTCCATCTCTGCCGCTTGTCAGCTACGCCTCGGCCAGCGCAGCGGGCGGAACCACGCATGCATGGCGCTCCCGGGCAGGGAAAGTCCTCGACTTACGACCGGTTGGGTAGTCCTCGACTTACGACCGGTTTAGTCCTCGACTTACGACCGGTTGGGGTCGCGGCATTAAAAAGGTTGAGAACCATTGCACTACACCCTGCACTTCTACGGGCAAGAGCCCAGCTGAATTAAGATGGGGGCGCCGATTGATCACAAAGATGGATCGCTTAAACCCTGATAGGGTTGCATCACAGGTGCCGCAGCCTAAGGCACCAAGGCAATTGCAAGTGGGTGATCCAGTGTGGACGCGCAACTATGGACAAGAGGCACTGTGGGTGGGAGCTGTGGTTTGCAAGGTGTCAGGGCCGGTCTCAGACGAAGTGGCCCTAGAAGACGATCGCGTGCTTTGCAGGCACATTGACCAACTGTGATGGAGGTTACCACACCACTCTTCCACTCCTGACTCTGCTCTCGGGGGGGGAGGAGGAACATGATTGCGATCGTGCATCTGAGTCTCTCAGCGAAATTGGGACCTTGCGATCGCCGAATGGGGTTTTTACCAACGAGGCTGCTCCTAACTCAGGCACTGTGCCCATGGGACATTGCTCTCAATTGGCTTTTCATGCCGATCCGTTGGATTCTAGTTCACCGCGGAACTCTGGCTCAGGCCTACCGGAACAGGCCAGCCACAAGGAAATGGACAAAGGCTCGGGTCTACCGGAACAGGCCAGCCTTCATGAATTGGCTCTATCCGTGTCGGACGGGTAGTTTCTCCTTAATTCCAGGTTGCTTCTCTCTTTGATCAGTTTCCAACCATTGTTTCTTGTCCTTCCTTCTGATGCTTTGGTGAACAATCTGGCCCCCTCTGCATTGTGGCAGCCCCTCAGATACTGGAACACTGCTATCATGTCTCCCCTATTTCTTCTTTTCTTTAGACTAGCCAAACTGAAGTCCTGTAGCCATTCTTTGTATGTTTTCATCTCCAGACCTTTGATCATCTTAGTTGCTCTTCTCTGAATTTTTTCCAAACTCTCAACATCTTTTTTGTAACATGGTGACCAAAATTCGCTGCAGTATTCCACGTGTAGCCTAACTAGGGTTTTATAAAGCAGTAATAATACTTCGCGTGATCTTGATTCTATACCTCTGTTTATACAACCCAGGATTGTATTAGATTTTTTGGTTGCTGATTTGTGAAAAATAAAAGTAATGCATCTGCTGAAGCATGTTAAAATGTGGATAAAGCCTCCTTCCTCTTTCTTCAGGCAGAAGTGCTAGTCTCGGTTAGGGATTTCTCCTGACAGGGTATGAAAGAGGAACCAGATCCTGGAAAAGTCTCAGCCTAAGATTCTACATTGAGGCAAGAAAAAACAAATGCACAGGTATAGGTACCTTGCTCAATAGTAGTAACTGTGAGAGGGATCTCGGAGTCCTAGTGGACAATCACTTAAATATAAGCTGCAGCTTCCAAAAAAGCCAACACAGTGCTAGGCTGCATTAACAGAGGGATAGAATCAAGATCATGCAAAGTGTTAATACCACTTTACAATGCCTTGGTAAGGCAACACTTGGAATACTGTATCACGTTTTGGTCACCACCATGTAAAAAAGATGTTGAGATTCTAGAAGGAGTACAGAGAAGAACAACAAACATGATTAGGGGATTGGAGGCTAAAACATATAAGGAACAGTTGTAGAATTAGGTATGTCTAATTTAATGAAGAGAAGGACGAGGGGGGACATGATAGCAGTGTTCCAATATCTCAGGGGATGCCACAAAGAAGAGGGAGTCAAGCTATTCTACAAAGCACCTGAAGGCAGGACAAGAAGCAATGGATGGAAACTAACCAAAGAGAGAAGCAACCTAGAACTAAGGAGAAACTTCCTGACCATTAGAACAATTAACCAGTGGAACAACCTTCCTCAAATAGCTGTGAATGCTCCAGCACTGGAAGTTTTTAAGAAGAGATTGGACAGACATTTGTCTGAAATGGTATAGGGTCTCCTGCCTGAGCAGGGGGTTGGCCTAGATCACCTCCAAGATCCCTTCCAACTACTACTACTACTACTACTACTACTACTACTACTACTACTACTACTACTACTACTACTACTACTTCTTCTTCTTCTTCTTCTTCTTCTTCTTCTTCTTCTTCTTCTTCTTCTTCTTCTTCTTCTTCTTCTTATTATTATTATTATTATTATTATTATTATTATTATTATTATTATTATTATTATTATTATTATTATTATTATTATTATTATATAGTTCTGTCATGTCCACTATTCTAATGAATGTTAATGAGTAAATGAGTAAAAAAGAGAACAGTGGCTACAAAAATGGTTACTAATATAGAATTGCACTAATCAGTTCCTGCTGGTGTCTTCCCATCAACATCTAATTTCCACAATAGAAACAGAAGTTGGACTAGGTAAGCCTTTGGTTTGAACTGATACATCTTTGTTTTATGAAATTTATTATAAGTATCCACTCAGGCAGACTCTATTCTGTTAATTAGTATTGGCTTAGTGAATGAAGGAGGCCTTGCTCCACCACTTTGAGATACCCTTTTTAGATTGTTGTTAAATGTCATAAATGGTCAATGAATAGGCAGTAAAGGTTGCCACTACTGTTTTTGTGTTTTTATTTTATCTTCACTGTAGGTGCTCGGAGCTGCTTGGGGGAACTCTTTGCAAGGATTCAGGTCTTCATTATGTTCACCAGCCTACTGAGGGCATTTAGGTTGCAACCCCCAGAAGGAGTGGAGAAACTCAGTGAAGAACCAGTACTAGGAATAACTCTGCATCCCTTTCCTTTTAAGATCTGTGCTGTTCCTCGCTCCAGAACGCCATAGAAGGGGAAAATGACTAAATGTTTATTTAGTTCTACAGATCTTATGTCAGCGCTGCGACAACTAAAAGCTGTAGCCATGATACCTTTTGCCTTCATTGTTTTTTTTTGTTGTTGTTTGGAAATTTCAGATGGAGAAGGGGGAGGGGGCAATGCTTGAGCTGTTTCACTTAGCCACAACAATTGCAACTGTGTGAGAATCAAGGTCAATGCTAGAAAAAGTTTGGCAGGTTGAAAAGTTGGGAGGAGAACCCACGTTTTAGAATAATTGGTGAATGTGATTTATGACAGCCTTTCTGGGATGGGAATTTCAACTTGTTACTTTGTAGCTGGTGGGAGGGAACTTTAGTCTTGGGTTCACCTATGTAAGTGCCAATACTTTGTTTCCTTATAAAATGTTCTTTGAAGAAGAAATCTTTAGCTTGAAGTTCTTTTAATTGGTTTAATCTATCGGAATCATGACATTAACCCAAAACTCAAACTTATCTTAAAATTCATGAGGTCCTGAGCTCTGGTTGCCTACCCAAAGCCTTGGGAGGACGACAAAGACTCAGGGAAGAATCCAAGATGGAGAAAAAGGAGGAACCTGTCACCAGCACTGTGACCACAGCTGCTACATCAGCGGATGGAGTGCAGGCCATTGCACCAATAGAGAGTGTGGTTTTGGAAACTCCAGCGGCAGGGGTGAGACCAAAGGCATGGGAGCCCATCTGGTCATTGGAATGGGCCCTGCCTAGCAGAGACTCTTGGCATTCAGAGGCAGCCCAACAGAAAAAGAATTCTACAAAGGCCACTGAAGCTGAATTTCCACTGACTACCTCCCACGAGTCGCGCTCTTCTGATCGAAGAGGTACTAAGTGTGTGGCACCTTTGGATGAGTCGGGTGAGTGGAAATACCTGACAGCAATTCAAAGCCAGTCAGTCAAGTGTTTGAGGGAGAAATATGAAGGACTGGACGTGGGAAGCAGGGAGCAGGTCACCCGTCAATTATTGGTCAGTAAGCGGGATGACAGACGCCCCTGAGATCATTCCCAGTCCAGGAAGAGTCCCAGTCCCATAGCTGGAGCCCGGGCCACCTCCCCACATCTGAAGCCACCAGCTTTAACTTCAAGTTCAGTGCAGAGGTGAAGTCCGGATCGTCACCAGCAATGTGCTAGCTCCAACCTCCATTGGCAGCCACTGAACCCTAACCACCATTGACATCGTGACAGCCCTGAGCATTTAGAATGGTATGTTAGCCCTGAACAGCGCTGCTTCTATATGAGCCCTGACTGGCACCCATGTCACCTTAGCCCGGACTGCCATCGGCACAGGGAGAGCCTCGGTCATTATCGATATTCCGGTAACCCCGACAGGGATCTGTGTCGGGCTAGCCCAGATTGTCATCAACACCAGTCCAGTCCAGACTGTCACCATTACCAACGTAACCCCGAGCCTCACCATTGACGACTCAGTCCTGACCACCATCAACACTGTTACAACAGCCCAGGGCCAATGCTAAGGTTTGATCATGTAGGAGGAATCCAATGTGATCTAATACAACAGTATGGATGGCTGCACACTTTATTGGACAGGCAGAAACCCATAACAGTTCCTTCTTTTAAACCCAAGTTTGATGGGGACCCTGAAAAGCTAACCTTCTTTTTGAACCAAGTGTGCTCCTACATGAACTGAAATGCCAATGCCTATCTGGACCCTGATGCAATAGTCGATGTCATAGCAGCAAACCTAGAGGGGAGGCATCGGAATGGCTAAATAGCTTGAACAATGAGCAAGCACCTAAAATATGGGACTACAACCTATTCATCCAAGGATTAAGAGCCAGATTCGAGGATGAATCCATAGCTCTACAGGCAGAGAAGGACATTCATGAAGTAAAACAGGGAGGTAGACCAGCAAAGGAATATGTGCATGAATTCCAGAGGGTGGCAAGTAGAATTGAGTGGTGGCCAGAGCGATCCCTGGTTCACCATTTCAAGAATGACCTGGACCCCAATTTGTTCCAAGCCTGACCATCTACAGGAGTGATATTGGGTGGCAATGAAGATGGACATTGAGGTGACCCGCTAAAAGAAGCTATCGATTCCTGGACATGGACCAATGCCAGACCAGACTAAGTGACCACCTGCCAGATGAACTCCAGTGACTGGAATGGAGGAACCTTCAAAACCACCTTCGGGCCCACCGATCAAATGTTTTAGGTGTGGTCAACCGGTCACCAGGCAGCAGCTTGTCCTGTCCCATTCCCGCAGCAGAAAAGTGGCTCAGCCCCGCTGGAAAAGAGAAAGAGAAGCCAGCCATCTACCAGAGAGAAATCAAATTGGATCGCTCAGGAACCAATTGCCCAAGTCACCTCACCTACTCAAGAGAAGGTCGAGACCCCAGCCGACCTGGCCACTGCACTGGCTCCTTATGACAGTGATGACGAGGGGGAGAACGACCGATGGTGAGTCAACCTATTCCACCTTTTTGCCTGTCTGCCAAACTTATAGTTCCTAAGACAGGTGCTCAAATGAAATTACGGTTGTTGGTAGATTCAGGGTACTCACGATGCCTTATCAGCCTTCCAGTTGCTCTCAAACTAGACATTCGGGTGAGGCTACTCTCCAACTCCATGAAATTTGAACAGGCAGATGGATCTTTAATGGGAGAAACCTTAATCACCCACCTAACAGTACCGGTGCAGCTGGAAGTAGGTGAACATTGGGAGTTCATCCGATTTGTGGGGGCTCCAAAAATGACTGAAGCAGTGATTCTAGGTCTAGCTTGGTTAGACAAGTGGAAACATTTTATATGATGGGAGAAGGGGATGAGAATCCTGAGATTGCCCATAGGGCCATCTCCCCCCGTCCGTCCCATGACATTAGTAGAGAAACAAAACCACCACCCAAAACGATAAAGATAGCAACTATTCCCCTGCCAGGATAGCCGCTCATTCCCAGAGAATATTGAGACTTAGCAGAGGTGTAAGTGAAAAGGAATGTGATGTCCCGCCATCCCACAGACCAAATGACTGCGCCATTGAGATTTTACCGGGAGCCAAGCTGCCAAAACCAAAGATGTATGCCATGACCCCCCTTCAAGGTGGAGGAAATGCGGCAGTACATCGACAAGAATTTGGCCAGAGGGTTCATTGAGTCTACCAAATCCAAAGTAGCAACCCCGGTATTGTTCAAAGAAAAGAAAGATGGGTCGCTCAGGCTCTGCGTAGACTTTAAAGGCCTCAACAGTGTGTGTGGAAAATATGTACCCCTTCCCCTAATGAAGGACTTATTAACCTATCTGGCAAAGGGATGGATTTTCATCAAATTAGACCTAAGAGAGGTGTACTACCGCATGAGAATAAGAGAAGGCAATGAATGGAAAACTACTTTTAACAGCCCTTTGGGTAGATCAGTTTAGAGTTATGCCATTTGGATTACAAGGAGCTCCTGCTGTGTTCATGCAACTGATTAACCAGGTGCTACACGATCATTTCTACAAGGGCGTTTTGGTGTATCTTGATGACATCTTAATCTATACAAAGACTTTGATAGAACATGTAACCTTAGTGCGAGAGGCACTGAAAAAACTCCTAAACACTAAGCTCTATGTCAAACTTTCAAAGTTTGGATTATTTAGGCTATAGAATTTCCAGCAAAGGCATTGAGATGGATCCAGCTAAAGTGAAAGCTGTAATTGAATGGTAACCTCCAAAAACTCGAGAGTAACTACAGAGTTTCCTAAGATTTGCTAACTTCTACTGTCAATTCATCCCTTCATTTGATGAAATTGCTTTGCCCCTGACAGAACTGTTAAAAACTGGCAAAGAAGTGGGGAAGCCGCGACCTGGTCAGCCACTACATTGATCTATGGAATGCCAAACCGCTTTTGAAAACTTAAAAAGACGATTTGCTGCTGAGCCAATTTTAACGCACCCCTACCCAGAGGAACCATTCGTAATTCAAGCTTATGCTAGTGATGTGGCTGTAGGGGGAGTACTCTTACAAAAAAGTTATGAGGGGATTTTATTTGTTGTTAGTTGCGAAGTTGTGTCAGACCCATCACAACCCCATGGACAACGTTCCTCCAGGTCTTCCTGTCCTCTACCATCTTCTGGAGTCTATTTAAGCTCAAGCCTACTGCTTCAGTGACTCCATCCAGCCACCTCATTCTCTGTCATCCCCTTATTCTATTGCCCTCAATCTTTACCAGCATTAGGCTCTTCTCCAGTGAGTCCTTCCTTCTCATTAGGTGGCCAAAGTATTTGAGTTTCAACTTCAGGATCTGGCCTTCTAAAGAGCAGTCAGGGTTGATCTCCTCTAGGACTGACTGGTTTGAATGCCTTGCAGTCCAGGGGACTCAATAGAGTCTTCTCCAGCACCATAGTTCAAAGGCCTCAATTCTTTGGCACTCAGCCTTTCTTATGGTCCAACTTTCACAGCCATACATTGCAACTGGGAAAACCATGGCCTTGACTCTACGCACTTTTGTTGACAGGGTGATGTCTCTGCTTTTTAGTATGCTGTCTAGATTTGCCATAGCTTTCCTCCCCAGGAGCAAGCGTCTTTTAATTTCTTGGCTGCAGTCCCCATCTGTGCTGATCTTGGATCCTAGGAAAATAAAATCTGTCACTACTTCCATTTCTTCCCCATCTATTTGCCAGGAATTGAGAGGGCCGGATGCCATGATCTTGGTTTTCTTAATGTTGAGTTTCAAGCCAACCTTTGCACTCTCCTTCTTCACTCGCATCAAGAGGCTCTTTAGTTCCTCTTCACTTTCTGCCATAGAGTGGTATCATCTGCATATCTTAGGTTGTTGATATTTCTCCCGGCAATCTTAATTCCAACTTTTGATTCATCTAACCATGCCTTTCTCATGATGTGCTCTGCATATAAGTTAAATAGGCAGGGTGATAGTATACAGCCTTGCCAGACCCCCTTTCCCAATTTTGAACCAATCAGTGGTTCCGTGTCCAGTTCTCACTGTTGCTTCTTGACCCACGTATAGGTTTCTCAAGAGACAAATAAGATGGTCTGGTA